GGGGGGGGGGGGGGGGGGGGGGCTATACGTCGTGGGCATTGATTGCCACAGTGCACTTGGGCACTGTGTCAGCTCAGCTTTGAGCTCTGATAAAGAAAGAGAATCTATATCCTGCCAGTGGGCACAGCACTGTGGGACTGGCTAGTGGTTCTTCATGGAGTCTGCCCACACAAGCTGGGACAGCTCACTCTAAACGCCAACAGAATGGGAGGCACTGGGCAGGCGTCCAAATGCTTTCGCAGGAGTTTGCCATTTGCCTGCAAATTGCCAAGTTCTTCTGATTCTCTCTGTCCCCTCATCAGAGGACCAAAGCAAAAACATGGACCAATTCAGTGGTAACCCAGAGGACGGAACAATGGCTGATGGACTGGCGGTCTGGGCAAAGGGCCACTGTCTGCATAATGGCTGACCTTTAAAGAGATTCTTAGCGTGACTCATTAACCAAAGTCACCACTCTACTATCAGATGACCTGGGACAGGAGCACAGAGACAAAACAGGCCTGCTAATCGCCCCAGGAGCTCCATTTCTTCAGACATGACTGCACCCATTCAGCTGGCTCAGCCTACAGAAACACAATCTCGCAGGCCCATCACAAGTCATCAGCGATCGCAGCATTTCAAATAAAACACTTCAGCAGGTCCAACCAGACGGGGTAGAAAGAAAGAAAACAAAACAGCTCTCCATTTGTGATCATAAATATTCATCACGTACCAAAGAGAAGAACAGTGAATACACAAGAGAGACAATGGAAGGGATCAAATAAATCCTTTAAGAAGGGGAGAGTCCAAGTCTGCCTTTAATTGTGTTGAAATTACAAGGCTTCTAATCTCACCAGCATGATAGCAGTCATTTCCCTTCAGGATTAAACACAAGGGATTTATATTTCAAACCTCATTTTCCATTAATCATTTTATTGAAAGCAGATTACAACAGTGTAGGAAATCAGCCGTCAGATCCAGTGGATATAGGCCGTTCTGTGAAACCAACAATCCCTGGAACAAAACAGCTGTAGCTCTGGACACTCACCGTGCTCTCTGGATCGCAGACATCCGGACGGCGATGGAGGTGATGATGAAACCAAGTGAGCAAAGAAAAAACATGTCAGTTTGTACATCATAACAAATGCTTCTGGTTAAACAAGTGTGAATCAGCTGCAGGGCACAGCTCCCCCCCTTCCAACCCCTACCCCCTTATCGCCGTGTATTGGAGCTGCTGAATAGCTTATGTAGTCATGGGCTGGGAATGTACCAGCTCATTACCCAGACAGAATGTGAGCAGACAGGATGTGCTCCTCACCTAAAGGCCCTGCGTTTCTGCTCTGTAGACTGAAAAGCACTGCACACTTAATTGGTTTATCCCCGTTTAACATCTTTCAACCGTGCCGAAATGAATATGCATCTTAATTCTTTCCAAATAAACTGGCTGGACAACTAATGCCCCGTTGGACAGCGATGTGAGTGAGCTCTTCTCCCCACCTCTGTGCTCGAGATCGTGGTGATTCTTCTCATCCTTCACCGGGAGGTGAGCTTGGCTGCCCAAAGCCCCAAGCGCCAGCAGGCCTGATCCAGAGCCTGTCACTGGGGGGATGCCAGGTGGCTGCAGACCCGAGGGGTGGGGCGGCAGCTGGACGGGGGGCCCGTGAGCAGCATGGGAGAGATGCTGTGCCTGAAGCTGCTGTTGCTGTAGGATGACAGGGAGATGGACGGAGACACACACAAAGTAATTTGGAGGCAAAAGTCAAGTAGAAATCACATACAAGATATGAGGCTAATCTGTTAAAAGCAGATGTTATTAACAAATTCACATATATATGTCTTTCAAATAAGATTCTATAGAAAGGAAGGGCGAATTAAGCCTTGTGCTGAGGAGAGTAATCCTTAGAATAACTTATTTGAAAGTCTCCAAAGCTTGAGGCGTACAGTGACCCACTGGTAGTAATTCAGAAGAAAATATAGAAAACAAATAAAACATAGTCAAGTTATATTCGATTAAACCACAGTATATATAATTTCATTTCAACTAGAGTGGTGTATTTCATACTGCAGCATCACTCTCAAATTCCCTCTGTGAGCCGAGCATTCCTCTCATGAAGCCATTTGACTCATGGCTAAACAACTGCCTTAACACACTCCAAAAACACTACAATTGTCTTTTTACTACTCCCATATATACATTCCTGGATTGACAATGCGTAAATCATTAGCACACCAAAAGTTCAAGAGACTAAAGGAATTCTAAGAGCCAGAAGCTGGCACTCCTTCCCTCTCAGTCTCTGCTAGACGGCTCTGGAAGCCAGGACCAGGAGTCCATACTGGCACTCAGTCAACCTTCCAATATTCACCATCAATATTTGAAAGGCACAGGGAAATAGATGGGAGTTAAAAGGCACTCAGCATGGAAGTAAGCAGTTTAAAGCAAGGTTAAATAATACTTAGCTGAGACACCAATAAAAACATCAGCAATTTATTACCCGCCTACAAGCCAGCTGAATAATTCAACTGCATTTACAGCTTGCCCCCCTCTCTTTTACAAGATGGACTTCAATCAGTAGCCATTTATGGCCATTTCAGTAATATTAGGAACTTGGTCATGACTAGGGCTTGTACAGCACAAAGAAGAAAGTGGTGGATTAACTCAGCAGGAGCTCGCTTTAAGAGTCAGCAGCAGGAAGACAAAGGGCACATAGTTCTAATATATGAATTTCAAAAGAAATGACCTGTGAAAGATCCTTTCACTTGTTTGTTTTCAATAGTTTTTCCTGTCCTCGATGTAATGTGTAATAGATTGTAAAATAGCAATGTTTTTAACTTGAGATTTGTCCTTTGCACCACAAGGCTGATGCCAGTCCAAATACAAAATGTACCCCGGACACTGAGAGGGAGAGCAGAGAGTGTTTTATAATATTGTGTCCATGAGGGAAATTAAGCAGCCAGTTCATTGGCAGGGGAGAGACATCCTTGCTCATTGTGTTTAATGAGGCACTGATGGGTAATAAGCATGGCTGATCAGCAAGAGCCCTCATTAAAGGGCCATAAATGAAGACAATAATAAATAAAGAAAGGAGTCTGGCCCATTTCTTCAAATTTAATATTCTGAGATAAAGACCTACTCTGTGCCCTTATTTCCCCCCCTTCACACTGAGTATGGCTACTGCACAAAAAGAAAGATCACACAAAACCGAGCACACATATTATGGTATTTTCAGGTGCGATAACAAGGTAACTATGGTGAAAGGCACAGCACTTGGGCACAATTAGTGCCATGCAGCATGCACGAGCTCCTCAAGCCGAGATATGTGCACGCCAAGCCCATTAACAGGAGGATGGCGGAGGCTGATATTTGTTGAAGCCACTGACCATTATAGTAGGGTTGGCAGCTTGCTGCTGCTGAAAAGGAGGACAGAAAGTGGTCAGGACTACTGCTACAGCAGGCACCCTCACTCCATTATTAAAATGCTACACTCCATTTAATGGCCTCACAGACAAAAGAAATGGTCTTACTCATCATTAAACACAGTCTAGGGTTATCTAGTTGGCCTCTCACAGGAAGAATGAAGTGGAAAGAAATGCATCTCTTTGCTGTTTACTGCTGACTTGAATATTTTGAGAATTTTCCAATCCAACAGGTTCGTCTCACCACAAGCATCTGCCCTACTTGCATTCTATTAATGGCCTGCAGCTCCATCAATAAGACATGCAGCCAGTTCCTGTGTGCTGCCCGTCTGCTTTGCACGCTCTTTCACCCGGCCTTCCCTTACAACGTACAGGGGTTTGGCAGGGCTTCACAACATCTCCCTAATAAATAACACATGTACAGGTATTCGTAAAACATACAGTAGCTACATTTCGCCTCCCTTGATACAAAGCAACCACTGCGGCTTTGGTTGGGCCCTCAATGTTTCTTTTAGAAGTTGCGGTGTCACGCAAGACCATATACTCAAACTATAAACACGCTTATCAAGTACTTTATGTGCCAAGTCTAATTCGTCCAATCTTTTGAGACTTACAGAGAGCCACAGTGAAGGAAGCACATCACCAGATGCAGACGTAAAGCAACATTAAAGTATAATGTGTGTGTTTGAAAAAAAATCCAAAATCACATATGCAAGATGGAGCAGCGCATCAAATATTGAGGCTTGATGCTGCTCTGCTCTGGTGAAAGTGTAAGAAAGCCTCTGCTCAGTCCAACAGATAAAAAAAACAACAAAAAAAAAACACCAAAAACAAACAGCTCTCCATCACTTAAAGACACTTTCTAAGACAAATGCAAGGGAGCAATTATCCTGGAACAAAAGGTCACCGAGGGGGCAGTAATTGAATTCCAATATGTGCCTCCAGTCATCAAGTCAGCCTTTTGGGCTCGTCTCCTGTGCATGCTAAAGATTCAACTGTTGTAATAAGATCACTGATAGCCTGAGCTCTGTGTCGAAGGTGAAACCAATCACTTGTGTTTCAGCGGGGTAGGATGAGTGCAGCTGATCAATGGGGAGCAGATGGCGTGGTGACGAACACCAAACACTTTTTGCTCAGCGTTGTGCTGGGCGGAGAGCTTTGCAGCTAGACTGGAATGCCGGCTTCTGTCTGTATTATCTCAGTGAGCTTGCAGTGTTGGCTGTGCTCAGTTCAGCTTCAGCCTTTTAACTCCCACAGCTATCCAGGTCAACAGGGATGAGACTCCTCGTTAAAACCTTAGCCAATTAAAGCGATACGGCCAGCGAAGGGGATCTCAAGAGCTCTCAGGCTCACATTTATAAACACACAACAAGGCAGAGAGGAGGCCACAGAGAGCAAGGCAGCAGAAACACACCATCTCTGGAGATCTACACATGCTTGCATTTGTACATTTAGCAGTGACAGATTTGGACCAAATCAGAAAAAAACAGTTCTATAAAAACATTTGATTCCAGAGGAGACACATCTGCACTTTAACTTTTACTAAATGTAATATTGCAAATTGTTCATTTAACGGTACAGTTCAATTGTCCTGACATTCAGAGCATTTTGCGCAAGTTTTCCCCTACCCAGGTTGAAATAAAGGAATAAAAGGGAGTATACACACGGTGAGAGGCAGATTGGGAAGTCCACGTACCCCGATGATGGCATTCAGCTCAGTCATAGTCACCTGCTTAGCCCTCTCCACTGCCTGAGCAACCTGCTGTTGGTGCTGTGGGAGGACAATAACAAACAATTATGGGGAGGTTCCAAACGTGCAGTTAGACACTTCATTTTCACAGCACTACGAGGATTCCCAAACTCAGAGCGACAATCACTAACACAACTGCAGCTTTCCTAAGTAGCATCATTGGAATACAGGCAACAATAAAGGACTTCATCTGAAAATGAACTGCACCACTGTTTCAGAGGCCACAATCCAAACTCACCTCTTGTGACAGGAAAGGCATGATTTGAGCTAAAATTGCATTGAGCCGTTTGGCAATCTCCGTCTGGAAGAGAGAAGAGCGGCACAATGAGATGCTTGGGTTCGAAAACACACAGTGACTTCACATAACCCCGCCTTTAATGTTTACACCGATTAAGTCAATTACTGCTGCAATCAGAACTGCTTGACTCAACATCCTCTAAACAGCATGATATTGACATTTGAAATATTTAAAACATTAGGAGAGCCCAGGGGGATGGAGCACAGCTGTGCTGAGAGTGCACTCCATGCTAAACGGATACAAGCAGGCAGAGTGCTGCTGTGCTGAGAGGATCCTTTCTGGCTCTCCCCTCCTTATGAAACTGCTCCGTCCTGCACTTAACCTCAGCGTTAAGCCACGCAACCACACCCCAGGAGGGGAGGCCAGCAAACCTGGACGTCACCGTTTACTTACATGTGATGGTGTGGACAATAAGCACAAGGAATTACAGTGAGCAAAGCTAACAAACCATAATAACCTTGTGGGTAACAGACCTCAGATCTATTATCAATAACCATTAAGAGACAGCAAGTGGCCTGTGCTCAGAGCGGGGATTGCACAAGCTCGCCCTTTCCAAGAATGAAGCTACAGCCATTTCTCACTGCAATCAAGTGTGCAGCCCACCACCCAGCTAGCCTCCCGTCTATCCACAGAGCCCTGCTTCCATTTTTCTGCTTGTCTACCAACTGCCATGGCAACGGCCGCAGCCCTATCTGGCTGGGATCATTATGCAAATGGAACCTCTGCTTGACCGTAACAGGCTTTAAAATCATATTACGTGCTCGGAGGCAGGTCATTAAATTGAATTTTCAGCTTGTCGATCACATGAACGGACCAAATGAATGGCGGATAAAAAGAGCTGTGGGAGGGGATGTGAACCAACCCCCCACCCCATTCTGTAAAAAAAAAAAAAAAAGAAAGAAACGCCGCACAGCTTGTTCTTCCTCCCTCTCCTTCCAGGCTTCAGAGATGAGACTTTCAGGTTCGAGGTTCGCTCTGGGAGCAGAAAAAATAACAGGGCCAAAGCTACATCATCTTTGGAATTTATGAGCTGCAGTTCAACCCAGGGCCACTGCGGAACACAAACACATCACAGGGATTTTCTCTGATTTTTCATTTGGACCAGCACACACAATGTACTTTGCAGACTGCCAGCTTATTTATTACACATGGCAGAAATGCCTGGCAGTTTTGGCAGCCAGACATATTACCTCCAAGCAGAGCCAGCGAGATTGGAGAGTAATGTCCAACACAACAAGACCTGCTGACCCGGGCTACAACACAGATAGCCACTTAGCCTAAAAAGCCAGCAGGACAAACAGCAAACACAGACAGCAGATCAGAGTGACACTTGGGATCAGGGGCAATAACCTATAAGAAATATATTGTAGCATCGGTTACAGAATGTACAATAGTCCATAAGATAAGGAGGACTATAACTTTCTTATTGCTTGTCAACAAAGACAATGAACTATGCTCTCCTATAATAAGCAATAAATGTAGCCTTCAACTAATAAATGCACTAAAAGGGTTAGGCAAAGATTTTACGAGCACAGATATTAAAATAATTTAGCAGGTGCTCTCGAAAGAATTGAACTAAAACCACGGAAAAGATTTAAAAGCTACTGGACTTTTATAATCCACGTTTGTTGAGATAAGCCTTGTAAATAGCAGTGGAACATTTGACAGGATTTGTGAAAATGCCCGGAGCACACAGTCCATTCCTCTGTAGCTTAGTGTCATGGTGACAGCTGGCTGGGAGAGGTCAGGAGGTGGCTGATCCACTGCATCCTAAACAACTGTCAGTCTCTACACTCTCACAACACAACATGCAAATACAAGGCAGAGCCACTGGCTCAGCTCACCACTGCTGTCAAAACAGATACAGTGCAGTGCTGGGGGACTTTTTTTTTTTTTCTCTCTCTCTCTACCGGCAGATAAAAATGGGGCTGTTGTCACTTTAAGTAGATGACAGCTTGGCCCTTGAGAGGCCAGCTTTGCACCGCTGCTACACAATTACAGGTACTCGGACCTGTGTAGCACCACTTTAAGAGCACTCTCAGGCTGGGTTGTCAATAGTGTGCGGAGAGGTATTCGCCTGGTGCCATCGCTAGTGGGGAAATGGACTTGAGACACTGATGACTATTAAATACAGAGGAAAAGCAGGTGATTTGTCTATAAACAAGTTTTTATGAGCTATATTTAAAGGATCAGTGATTCGTCCAAGCTGACAGCGTACCCTGAGGCCTGGCTTTCATATAAAGAAAGAAGCTCAGACTACTTCTATCAGTTGTCTGAGACCTGATAATGATGTTTCCAGCTAACCGAGATGTCACACAAAGTCCAAGTTATTGTTAATGTGAAGAAAAATCCAGAGTACATTTCTAACTGGCGTTTAAAGACATCAGTATTGATCAAAGCAAAAGCAAATGCCAGTGGAAATGGATGCATTACTCCGATTAACCTCGTCTGTTGCGGCAGCCAGGTCTCTCTTTTTATCATTTAGAGGAGTATTTCTAAAATATCTTTGCTCAAACAAAAATAACATAGCCTTGTCACACATCTTCAATGCAGCCACTTTCCATTTATAAAAACGGGCCCGACAGCCAAAAGCTAACACCCAGAATCATAACACTGCAGTCCAACCACACATGACAGATTGGGGATATGGAAGCACCGATGGCTTGGAGAGCAACAGTTTCTCAAACTGCTTTGTCTGAACAATGCAGAGCGTCTGTTTGCTGATCCAGTTTGCGTCGGCACTGGCTATGGATAACACTTCTGATGAGCGAATGATTCCTCCAGCCATGGAGCTCATGCCTGTGTTGTGATTATAGGTAAAAGCCAAATGTGATTTAAGTGAACCAACATACAAGCCCCCAAAACTCCTCGCAGTGCTTTGGAAACAGGGAACATATGATGGTAATTACGCGCTGACATCATGCAGCAGAAATTAGCCGTTCGCAATCTACGCGCTGCCCCGGCTGACAGGGAGGGATCAGATAACACTGCCACATCAGTCCATCCAAGCTGTGCTGCTGTGTGCATTCTGAAACCTGAATTATGTCCCTGTGCAGTAATGAAAAAGGCACAGTTAGAGGAATGAGTTTCCTCACCGTGGAATAAATCTCCTGGCAGGAAAATAATATGCCTGTGTGCATCCAATAATCCATCCCAACCCTGTCTGTTAACCACTCCCCGTCTTCTCCTCCTCCCCCGCCCGAGTGCTAAGCCGGGGGAGCAGCGAGGATGGGGCCCACACTGTTTGCTAACAAACACGCCGTTCAGCAGGTTAGGGCCCCACTGATGAATTATTCAAGCTCTTCCATCAGCTCTGTTCAGGTTCCTGATAAAAGTCAGGCACTAAAATGGATCAGTCGATTAACCTGTTTACACAGAGCTGGCTGCCGCCCCTCCCCCAAGCTCCATTCTCCAGCTCGCCTCCAGGTCCCAGCCCACCCCTCTTTGCTCTGGTTGGCGATAAGTGCCTGACGGGGGCTATCAGAGGGGCCTGACAGACATGTGGCAGTGCGACAAACCGGCCAGACGCTGATGGATCACCCCACCGGGCAAATCCGCCAGCCAAGCTACGCAGTCAGAGGACACACATCCACCGCTTTAAGACAGCCTACAATGAAATTTTAGGATTATTTATAGATACAATCTTTACAACTTCGGGTATCTGTCTGGCTGATCTGTGGAGCAATACCAGATAGGCCCCTTTGATAAAGATAAGGCTACAATAAGTGGCTAAATGACTTTTGCTCCACTATGGTAATTACCGTTCATCTAAGAAAGAAACACTGACCCATCAGCAGTCCTCTCCTTTTAATCGTTAAGTTAGAGGCCAAGCTTGTCAAAGTCTACCTTTAATCTTATCAAAAAGAAGAAAAAAGAAAAAGCCGAGTTGTTACATCAGCTTTAAATGTCAAAACGTGTGATAGCAGTTGTTCAATTGGTGGTACACATTTAGTCATTTTTTTATGGGCGGTAGATGGAACGTGTGCACAGCCTGGTAGAATTGTTCGGTTCAGAGAATGTACGTGGCTCCTCCTGGATGTGACTTCCCTTCACACCGTTTAAAACCAATAAGATGAAAACAATAAAAAAAAGAAGGAGGTGGGACATACCTGTTTGTGCATCTCAATGTTCAACCCGTAGGACATCTCATAATACTGAAATCAAAGAAGAGAGATGTTACACTTAGACTCTAAAGTATAACGTGTTCCAGTGCATTTTATTCCATTAACTTATTTCAAATGTATTTAGCAAACTCTTTTCAGACACAAAAAATAATGTAATTTGTCCCTGAACTGATTGCATCATCACATGGTTTTGGACCTTGTAAGAAAGACTAAAAGGTGATGAACTACCATCAAACTAAAAAAAGAACTTATTTAAGCAGCTGACAGGGAACAGCCAGTAAATTGATTTTTTCTTCCACTGTTTGTAGTGTAGGCACAGTGAAGAAAGGGTCAGATGTATTGATCACTATCTTAAGCCCTGAGATCTCCATGATGTCTGTTTACTTAGCGTAACGTGATTGCTCAACACTCTCGATATTTCCAGCCAGGTCAGTCTGTCTGGCTGAAATGTAATCTGTAGAGCCCACAAGTGGCAGCCGGGGCAGAAATGGCTTTCCAGTCAGCGTCTATTTGATGAGGCCAATGCATTATTCAGTCCATTAGCTTCTTCGAAAATTACTCTCAAACAAGAGAGCCATTCTGTCTGAGATCAGAGCCCTACAGCCAGAGCGTAACCCGACACCCTGTGTTGGCTGTGGGATACTTCCCTACATGTTCCCCCCCCCCTTTTGTGCGGACTGACATGTTGCTTTCCCGCAAAATAAATAAAAATGTTTATTTCAAGCGAGCATTTATTGGTGATAGCTTGTTTACCTGGAACTACAGAGGACACTTCACCAGAAAAACCTGCTCACTGCATCATGTCTGGGCTCATTTCTTGCGTCAGCGGCACACCTATGTTTTTCTAAAGGGCTGCTAAAATAAAAGCTAATAATTACGGTTTACAAAGAATGCCGGTGGTAAAGGTTTACTGCGGCCCTGCTGCCTGTCCTCCATCTTGCTTACAGTCGTGTATTTTTTTTATTTTTTATTTTCCCACACACTGCTCCAGGCCCCCACCGGGAGCTCACACCTAATTCATGGCCGTGCATATGTGTGAGCGTGGAGTCTCCTAGGAGAATAATCAGATCAGCACACACAGAGGGCAGCGCTGCAGTCAACCCTTGGAGATCAGGGGGCGTGATATAACGGGGCCGGGGCCCACAGGCTGTCAGGAGGAGCTCCTCTGTAACAACTGGCTGCATCAATCCCCCCCCCCCAGGGCTTTCACAGGCCCGTACCTGACACGCAGCCCGCCCTAACCACCACATACGTGATCACAATAGCCGGTGTCACTCCACCCCAACCAGATCTCCAACAAGCCTTGCAATTTGGTACCATAATTGCTCCCTATTGTAACTTAATCTTACCATGACATAGTGGCGCTGCATTTCTGTCTTCTCATTGGCCAGTTTGTCATATTCCACCTTAAGACTAGAATAGAAGACAAGGTGTCATTTCAAGCATCCTCATCACTTCAGAAAGTCACTCACACTTTGCCAAATGACAGCAGCACAAGAGGGATCAGCAGCATTTGACCGAGCCAAGACAACGAGTGTTTAAAGTCGGTGAGAATGGTTACCTGTGATACTGGGCCTGCAGGAACTGAAACTCGTCTTTAATTCTGTCGCAAGACTCTGCTACGGTGAATTTAAAGCCAGGCTGGCCGGGCTGATGAGGAGCCTGAAAGAAGGTTTGGGTATTGTCTTTAATTTCAGAATACAAAATCTCAACAGCACAGCCGCACGTGTTTGGTTTAACTCATCATTCTCTGCATGTCCCCCTGCAAACTATAGTTTTTTTTTTCATCCCAACCTTTAAGAATAATACCTCCACCACAGAAAGAAATTACCACGGCAAAGAGGTGGCTCTACTTCACACCTCCAGCTGCTAATAACACCACATGAGCGAGCTTTCACGCCGAATATGAATCCTCCCCTCAGAAACTAATTCAAACCACCACCTGTCCTCATATCGAGTACAGTCATATGTGAGGACAGGCACACGGCCCACCTGCAGGTATTTAAGGGTACGTTCTGCTGTGGTATTAATGCACTGGGGTGTATGGAGTTGGGATGACCGGCAGTGAGGGTAGGGAACGGCTTTGCGGGGAAGTTTTGACAGAAAATCAGCCTATAGTCAGGAACAAACACACCTCTGTTCTGTGACCAATATGTAAACTGATGTTGGTATTGAAGAGGCACTTCTTACCGGATGTCGGCCTTGTGGATACATCTTGAAATGTATCCTTTGTTTATCTCTCCAGCGTGCAGGTCCTGTGGCACAATGGGTGAAATTTGCTCCCAGCCACACCAGTCTCAGCAGGCAGGGGAGGGTGGGGAAGAGGGGGGGTAGGGGAAATCGTGAAAATCCTGTGTTGAAAAACATACTCTGTTTAACCTGGGGCTGTAAAATAAACAACTTAATGCAGAGAGCACTGTTTACTAATGAGGAGTCAGAGCGCCACATAGTCCCCAGTTATTGCACCAAATCCACACGCGTAAAAAACAAAAACAAAAAACAAAAACAAAAGAAAACAGCAACACTGAACCTGCATCTATGTTCTAGTGACCTTAGTCGGTTCCCGGACAGCGATTTACACGCAAAAAAAGGAAATAACATGGGGAAATGTTACAATTCAAAGTGATGCGGAATCAAACGGCTGCGGACGCCGCGTTTTCTCCGCCGAAATTCAAACCCTGGCGTCTAATCCCGTGGGCTCAGCGGCTCCAACCTTGACTGATGTTGGTCAAAAATGAGCAGAAGCTCGGGCTACCGGCGGGCCACGGCCGGCAGCAGCTGCCTCTCACCTACCGTTTGACTCCGGTCGGAGCCACGGAAGCGAATGCCCCTGCGCTCCGTAAAACAAAAAAGAAGCTGGGGGAAAGAAAACCAAGGGCTCAGGTAGATACATACCCGGACGCGCGTCCTAACCCCTCCGTCCGCCCGTCCGACCTCTGTTCCCGGTGGTCAAAAAAAAAGAAGAAGGGAAGAAAAAAAAAACACAGAAGGCTATAATTCAAGCGTTTAATCCCTCGTAATGTGGACGCAGTTCTCGACAAGCATCCTCACTCTCCGGAACGCACCCAGTCAGGCTGGGGGAAGCAGTTGGGAGGAAATTTGGTGCGGTCGGGCTCGATTAAACTACTTTAATCTTCAGCCACGAACCTCTGAGGAATGCGCGCCTTCTGCGAGCGGTTAATCCCAAGAAGAGGAAGAAGAAAAAAAAAACATATACTTCCCAAAAAATCTGTCTTCCGACTCGAAGAGGTTCTTTAAAAGCGTAACATGGTACTCTCCACAATCTCGCGTTTCCCCCAGTTGTCCAGCTTACCCCGGTTGCCACACACAGGCAGCAGGGCTGAACTGCCGTGAAAGCGCCTATCTGTCCAATCGCATTACTCGGAAGGAATACGGCCGCGTCTGCCTATCGGAGAAGCGATGGCCCCACGTGGGGTGCGGCGATACATGACATCATGCCGTAGATCCAAAAGGCATCGGCCGTCCGTCCCACCGTGCGCGACAACAACAGCGGGCATTGATGTGCCCGACGAGGAGCTCCAAATTTGACAGACAGCACAAATTCCACGTCCGCGCTTCATTAGCGCGCGCGCTGCCTTTTTTTTTTATTTTTTATTTTCCGCCCCGCCGAAATAAAGTTAATGAATTTTCGGGTGAGACCACCGGCAGGACGGGAGGGAGGGCGGGAAGGAGGTGTGTGTGTGTGTGTGTGGTGCAACGAGCATTCTTGAATTTTTATCCCCATAGAAGGAAAAAAAAAAGGTGGGAGGTGAGGTTTGTTTGTAGAGCCCGGTTCTAAAAGGCGAAACGATGTTACTGTGATTTATGCAAAAGGTAAACCAAAAGAAATGCGCCTCTAACCCTAGCACACATAAACCATGAAGGGCAGAATAATGATCCATCGATCGCCGACATTCACCAAATTAAAACCACGAGTCGACTTTCTTTTCGGGTTTAGGCGTCTCGTGATGGTTACACAACACATCCGCGCGCCTACCTATCAGCGTTTGGGTGATAGTGTCACAGCGGGGGGAGAGGAGATGATTGCCTTTGTGTGATATGAACATCAGCCATGTCTGAGCACTGCCTTCTACGCCTTGTTTTGAAGGTTCGGCTCTCCCCCACGTGGGAACCCCTCTGCAGCTTTAAAGACTCCTGGCCAATGGCAGCGCGGTGCACTTACTCGGCGGCCTCCCATTGGTCGGCTGGCCTCGATCCTGTCATTCACGGCGCCTCGTTGTCAATCAATACCACGCGGGGTCAAGCGCTGACAAATGCCTGTGCTCCCCGGTCCTCTGCCTGTGAATAGAGCCTGGAATGGCTGCTTAATTAGCTTCGAATGGCTTTTCTCTCCAGTTCAAACAATCTGTTACCACCACGTGGTAATGAGAGCCTACATTAAACAAAGGAAGAAAGAAAGCATGCAAACAGTTGTAACATTACAACCTGTAGTTTTCCTTTACATATGGACCTGTGTATGCAGGCAGACAAAAGGACACTGTTTACTTTTATCGTGAAGGCAAATCCGACCTCCTCTAGCATCAGACATGATATAAATGCTATGTCTCTGAGATGTTTGCTCTGTTTTCACCATCAAAAGACTAAAACGACACTTGCATTGTTGATAGATGTGATTTTTTTTTTTCCTGGAGTGATAATAAACCTGTGAGATGAGGAAAAACAGCACGCCTATAAAGGTGTATGCCGTCAGGTTTTATTGTATGCAGCGCTTTAATGTGTAAACTGACGAATTAGACATAGTCAAGACGTGTCACATCTAAGCATATGTTGAACACGTAACCCTGTAAAATACTGCGATCAATTATGGTCATGCAACCAGAGTAAATCTAAACTAATGACATAAGTCTGGTCTGTATAGTGTTACTTAAAAGCAAAAACAGCCTGCCGTGTTTCACAGGGCATGGCGGGCGCTTTTGGAGAATGCTAAGTTCATTATGTCATGTTGAGGTCTGAGATAGCCCAGCAAGCCATCTTACTTGTCATTCTTGTCAGCCACCTCAAGGATGTGGGATAACTGTGTTATTTCCAAAAAAGTACGGAGGCAGTCTGTGAGAAACTCAAGCACACACAAGAGCTGGCGGGCTAATCTCAGCCAGGCACCCCCTCACGCTTTTCAACAGAGAGTGCTTGGATTAAAGGCAACAAAAGGCCGGGCCAAACCCCATGGAGAAGAGGCCCTCCGCCCACTGAGACCCCCACACTGTTTATTTACACGGAAACCCCAGCCTCAGTGAAACTCCCACCCTCAGGCATTACACACAGGCCTATTTGCAGAGGTGGCTCTAATTCTTGACAGAGTAGGGATTGTCCTCAGTCCTGCCTCTTTGAACTGACTAGCAACCCACTTTCCACATAGCTCAAATGTAGCCAGTGAGCAAATATTTTGCTTCTTGCACAGAACAATCTCCTCGGGGTCATATTGTTCAAAGGTAGCAATGCTCGTTTTTGTGGAAAAATTGTTGAGCGTGCGGTTTTAAAAATCACATTATTGTTGCCCCACAAACGAGGCAAAGACCAATAACAGGTAGGGCACGTTTCCAGCTTGCTCGGTATTGCTCATTAAAATGTCTCATATTTAGGGGGAAAGCATTTTTCTCGTGCCTGCTTCCTGTTCACAAAGAGCGAGATGAGGGCCCTGTTACTGCAACCGTTTTACATTTCAGGATATTCCTGTTTGCAGGGAAATTCGCCGGCTCGTATGCGGCACGTTCACAAACAAACACGCAGGCTGGGTGTTATGCTGCGTGTCATTTGCAGGCGGGAGGCAGAGATGTGCAAAAACACGCACACACATTCCATGCAACAAAGAGCTCACAGTATGTGGTGGAATGATGAATTGCTCGTATTGTATTATCAAGACGAGTCATCAGACAGCAATCAATGAAAACAGGATGAGAGTCCCAATCAAAGGAGAAAAATGCAGACAAGAAAAGTGTCGCCAAACAAAAAGGCTTTTAGCAGGAATCTGGGCTCATGTAGTCCTCATCTGAGGGGACAGAGCCACCAGACACCCTGGAATTAAAAGTCCCTGCGATCAAACATTCCTGATAAGTGATCACAGGAACAATGCATTTACTTTTGGAAGTTTAAAAAAGTCTCTTTTCAGTGCAAATCTTTAAGTCTGTGAACATGATGAGATGCAAAAAAATTAAACACACTTGTGTTGTCAACTTCTGGGAAGATGACAGCAACACAAATAAAGTACAACAAAAGACATACTGTGTGCACACATTCTAGTCTCAAATGAAGTTACTTTATCATGTTACTTGGAAATCTTCCACTTTGCTCTCAAAGTCTCCCAATTTTCTGTCATCTTCCAATGACAGTCGAATTGAATACATCCCTGCACTTTATCTTTGCTCTTTCCCTTCAGAATCAAGTTGTGCAAATGTCTTCTTATTGCAGGAAACTATGTATATTTTAAATGAAATTGCAACTTTACACAGCGGTTGAAGGGTTTTTAGTGCTTCAACTGGATCCGATTACTGTCAAAATTCACAATATTCTGTGTGAAATCATGAAATGAAGCCATGTGTTTGGGTTTAAAGCTTTGATTTAAGGAAGTTTTGCCACATCAGATTTCTGACAAAAGACAAAACTAACAAACACAAAAAGGTGGTAATGACCAATTAAAAGAACCACAAGTATTTGTATTAATTTTGTTGTCACAGCATCGTAAAAACAGTAGATTAGCACATTGTTAACACAAAGGAACTCGCAGTGTCATTAAAAAGAGATTGACAGTCACAATAAATCTCTTAAACAATTAGCAATGTTGGCTAATCGCTCATTTCAACAGCAGTCATGGCTCCGTCATATTTCAGCAAATGCCTAATCGTTAATCACCACGTTTTATGGGCTTGATTTTAGAATTCATCGCCTCTAATGCATCTAAATCCAAGTTCATGCAGAAACAAGCTGGAACTAAAACAGAAAAGCCTCAGAAGTAGTTCTTTGTGTTCAATCTGTAATACGTGTCAGCTTGAAACCAGCATCTGACAGATTACCCCGCAACCCTCACCCCCACAGATTCTTTATCATAAATAATGTAGTCATTTCCTGCATTCTTGTTGTTTGTCCACCACACAGCTGAGCTGGAGGGCAGCCAGTATTAATTTCATCCATTTAAATTCAGCATGCTATTTTCAGAGAGGCAATTCTGGCAGACATGGACTCTCCTAAACTTGTTTTTG